TCGATTGTTGCATAGTTATATCCCCTTCATATCTAAAATAACTTTGGTTTTCAGTTTTAGTTATTATTCGCCTATAACCTTTATACAATGATAAGTAGATAAGACAAGTTGTAATTTCCAGCCAATAGAAAATGTCTTAAGTAGTAAAAATGTTGCTTATCGGTTGCTTATTTTTTTTTAAATTTCGTTCGATATAAACTAAAACACGTACAATAATATCCTTTTATCCATTCACCCTCTCGCATAATGAAAAACGCATCGCGTGACAATCTGCCATTCGAAGCGTCGCCATCGTTTCTTTGTGATTAAGTTTTTTTGACCTTTTGCAGAATCCAGTTAAATGCAAATAAACGAGACACACGTATCCGTATTACGCAAACTAAATTCAATGGACCGTTATTTAGTATCGATTCAATCAACCGTATATGTAGCATAACTCGGATATCCATTTAAAAGCAGATGCTTTCAGTTACATTAACCTCAGCCATCGGGCGATACACATGCAGTATCATTTTTCCGTCGCTCTCATATAAATACTTAATGAACTTAAACAGTTTGTTTAACTGTAGCGATGATTTTTAAAATGAAACGCAACTCGTCTATTATCGGACGTATCTGATGCGCATAAATATATAATGGGACGCGTTTAAAATAAATTACTTTAGATTGCAATGCTGAGGTATTGGCGCGCGTTTCTTCAATTTCCGTGGTGGATAGTAGGAAAGGAACGAGTGGGTTTTATCATGAAAAACGTCGATCACAATGTAAGTATAATTGCATGGGAATCGTCTAAGATTCAAGATTAAGAATCAAGTATCGCTTGTGACTCTCTCCACAGCTTTCTCTAAGTTCGCCTTTAATACACTCCAAAGCTTCGATAGTGACCCCTTGGTGTAGCTCGTTAGTTTGGTTAGCAGCAGATGAAAACCCATTCTCGATTGGCAAAGCGTATTTTCTTTTACTCCTATTAGCTCTTAAGCCGCAGAGGCCTGTTGCGGCGTTTATTTTGTAGCTTGACAAGTCTGCTGTAAATTCTGGCAGACGAACTGCTGAAAAATTCCTTATCCTGGTATATCGGGGTTTTCTTTCCATCGATTTTTTTATGGTTTATTTTGCCATGGGTTTAGCCACCCCACCAAAAAGTTCTGGTTCATTCATGCGCCTCGACGAGCCTTCGTTACCCTGATGGGCTTTGCACCCTGTTATCCATGAAGGAATCTTCTAATTGCGCACTCCTTTTCCTGAATCTTTATCAGCATGTCTATTAAAACTTAATCTGTTGAATGGGAGATTCGCACTGGCACAAATATACTTCCTGAGGTTCGGCATCAGTTGTAAGGTTTTAGTGGAATGCAAACCGCAGATAGATCAGATTCTATAAGTTTCGACCTACCTCGCTTTAATTGCCTACTTTCAACCAATGTTACTAGTCAGAACGCTCCGGCTTAACATAACTGCTATTGTGGACTTATTCTTCTTCTCCTATCCTATTACTATAGTAGGTTAGCAATCAACGTTATCAAGGATCTGAGGTAAGGTCACAAAAGAAAAAAATATCTTGCATTGTTTTCATTTTCTAGTTGACTTGAAAACTGGTATAAGGAAATCGTGTTTTTTTTGTTAATCGACTTTATGATTGTTGGTACATCTCATAAGCTAATGACTACAGGTATTATTTCAAAGCTGGGGTAACCAAGCTAGAGGTAACTATGCGCCACTATCAAAATTAGTAGAGTCTAGTTAGCGATATGAACCTAGGTAAACTTCTAAGTGCTTGTTATTGAGTTGTTAAAACGACAAAATCTATTAAATCCATCCCCGTAGTCGTGTTACATCAAATGAAATGTAACGCTAAATAAAACTTTCCGAAGAGCAGTACACATCATTTTTATAGTATCTGTGCTCAAAACCAGTAAATACGAACGTGCGCGAGGCAGAAGATAGACTTCGCTCTTCGCAGGAACCATAAAAATGTTACGATCCCACAATAGCCGTAACTGTATACCGAGCATATTCTGTAGCAGATTTCGCGTTTCGTTTTACGACCTAATTGTGTTGTCAGATTGCCTAAAGTTAAATGGTTAGTTTACGCGTATTATTTGACCGTTTCCTCGCATAAGTTCGTCACATTTTGTTAGCCACTCACACACTTAATTTTCCACTGCTTACCGAACCAATTTACGTTCCGTCGATACCAACCTACACGCGGCATTTCTGCGAGATGATTTGGCTTTTATGATTTCGTTTTGAATCATCAAAAGCTTCTTGCCTAGTAAGTTTCCTCGTTTGATATTGGCGGGATATTGTGTTACGTGCAGTTCATGAATATTCCAGATAGAAATGGAAAGGCCTTCGACGTCAAAGTGTCGTGTTACCGTATTTTTGCATAGGAATGAGTCCTCCCCACGAAAAGTGGAGTGTCATGTCACGTTACCCACTAGGGAAAACTGCGGGAGTCGCGTATACCGGATTTTATTATTTATCTGTTGGTTGCGCGATAACTAGAAATCTTTTTATAGAATTTGACGGTAAAATGCGATGACGCATCCAACCTCCTTACCTGGGTGGCATCAGGTTTCCTTTAAAAGATTCTGGAAAACTGCCAACATATAAGTTTTGAAGGAAAACCTAAAAATTTAATTGTGATGTTAACAGTGGTCGTCGGTTCCTGAACAGTCAAATTCTTTACCTCTGGTAGACCCTATTCATTCATTCGCTTCTAGCTCTGGGTTTACGTACATGTAACATCTAACTCCGCGTTCCTTACAAACTGTAACGTTCGCCAGAGAGATTATGCCGCCAATATTTAATACTAGAAATGAAAATTTATACTTTAATTTTGATTAATCAAAATCTTCTTAGTGGAAAGCTAGATATAAATAATGTCTTGTTGTTACAGAGGTTGTCATCTTTCACTTGATAAAATATGTATGAAACAACAAAGGAGCATATTTGTTGCAATCATCTTGATTGTTTATCGAAACAAAGTCGATATACACTGCGCCATATATAAATGAAACTTTAATAACCAACTTACGTCAATGATTTTGAATAGTTAATGCCGAGACCTTTTAAATTTCATTCTAGAAAAATTCTACGCGAAAAACGCACCCGTGGATAATATACGAAAAACATACATTTAACGAAGTATGCCGTGAATGTTGCTATTATTATTCTTATTCACATCTTTTGCAAATCCTTTTTATTCGTTTCGAAAGTTAAATTTACTACTATAGTATTACCTGTGTATAGGGAAAATATATTTAAATGCGATTAGTTAATTAGGAAATGCTAAAATATTTGGTATTATTCCCCTTCCCTTTATGACCATGCATTGAGACTTTTCGATCCATTAGGCCCGTACGTCTTTTGAATGGGTTTCAGCTTCTCCAGAGTTCCTCTCGATCCCTGTATCAGCACTGATAACCTGCTACAAGGCTACTAGGCCTATATTCTTGCTTCGGTTAAATCATTTTAAATGAATCTTCCTCTTTATTCCCTTCACACTCATTGACGGTATATATATTTACAATGTTCACGCACTCGTTCTCGACTTACGTCCCGGCTAGCCTACCGGCCACGGCAACCTTTACGCTACGTGTTTCCTAGAATACCTAAATCGTTCAATGGTCTGAGCTTCTTTGGCGTAGAACACGAGACAGAGGAAAAAGCTAAATCCGGGCAATAGTGCCCTGCCCGAATCTCAAACGTAGGAAATGGTGCCCAACCTTTTTTTTTTAATCACGGCACTTTAAGGCTTTGGTTGTTCTACGAGTGGAAGGTGTCGCATTTTCTTTGTGTACTTTTTTTTTTTAATTAAAACATTGAACATTTCAACATTGTCATGGCAAAATTTTAACAGCTTATTGTTTTTCTGTGGTAAGTGCATTTGAAGATTATGTTTCCTATGTGCAATATTTAAATTAATGTAAGGATCATATTCTCAAACCGCTGGTTGACATTTTTTTTTACTTGATTTTTTTAAAAATATATGATTATTAATCGTTCATTGTAGTTTTTCAAGAGGATGTTTACTTGGTTTACAGAATGTACCAAAACATCTCGCATATAGCTCTTAAATTTATTTTAATCCTGTTTCTTTATTTTTGGGGAGGGTGTGGGTTGCAATTAGTTTAGTTTGTAAGTTATAAAAGAATTACTACTAAACGATGGGGGTTTTGATTTTTTTTTATTGTTGTTTCTAATTATGCGAACATTTAGCGGAATACGAAATCGTCCCTATTTTAAATTTGAATGGCCACCTCCAAACCGCACTGACACAGGCGTACGGTGTAGTTAGTCGTTAAAAATTAGGTCCATTCAACCAACGGTCCCGTCAAATGAATTTCAAATGGACCGACATAGTTCAACGTTTATGTCGAGCGAGCGTGGTGCACATGTCGATAAACGGAAGTAGGAAACGTTCGCCACGGCCCACTTGATCGGGGTGCGCGTTTACGGGCGCAGCGCTAACTCGTTCGCGCTTTTTTTATCGCTTTTTACACGCCTAGTTATATTTAATAAAACATATACAAGGTGCCCCGTACATGCCGACCGGCCACCTAATTGATATTCCAACTGTTCGGTCCCTGTTTAATGAACTGTGACGCAATGACGGACTCTTTTTTTTTCCCCGTCCGACACTGCAATTCGATACGGTTTTTTAACACCTCTGTGTGTAACTGTCCGATCCATATGGTACCTCTTTTTTCATCTCGCTATTGAACTTTGCCCGTGTTCACGACATATGTGCTCGTTGGCCGTTGGTCCTTTGAGTCCGATATTTGTTTGACCGTGTGTCATTTCAGCTCCCGGTGGAACTTTTTAATTTTTTATTCCTTCTTCACACCCGCGCGTACACACACACACACACACACACACACACACACATACACACACACACACACACACACACACACACACACACACACACACACACACCACATTGACCACCACGCCCTCGCCGCAAAATTGATAAGATGTGATCATTTATACCGAAGTATTGTTTCTGATTGCAGCGACCCCCATCGTCGTCGCTGAGCTACGGGGGTCCTGTGAACGACGACGTCAGGTCGCCCGGGACGCCTGGACCCCTCTCGCAGCCGCCCGCCTCGCAGCAAAGCCTCGATGCCTCGGATCCTGGTGAGTTACAACCAAATGTTTCCTGAACCTAGTTCCAGGAGCGATTAGGTAGGATCCCTTTTAGTTCGGGTTAGTTTACGATAAACCCAGTACAATATTACAAACCATGGGGCCCATTTGAATATAAATAAAAGTTAACTGATCAACCATATACAGAAATTGGACTATCACTTAAAAAATAAGCAACAAAAATACCATAGTCTCAGTAAGATCAGTTAAAAAATTGTTACAATCCACAATTTCATACAGTAGACTCGCGATATAGTGAACTAACTAATCGCGATTGAAAACTTAGCAATAAATCAACAATTTCTAATCTTACTATATGGATTTACTCATTCGATTCGATTACTCATTCGATTTCTTAGAACGCTTAGCTAATGGCGAAAATAGATTGTGTCAACATCTTGCTATAACTTCAGGCTTTAAGTTTTTCAATTCCACGGTCAAAGATATTTCAAAGTTTCTCCTATATCCTGATCAACACCAATAACCTGCGACTACAAATTTTTGGGATAAAAGAATTTTGTCAAAGGAATCGCATTTTGATCCATCGGTTGTATTGTTAGGTGGCGTGTAAAGAATGAAAATCATCACTTTTTCGCTGTTCAGAGAGTGGATAACTTGATGCGTCCTCTAACAATAAGACAGCTTCAAATTGCTGAGTTTGACTACATAGGAACTTTGTCACCTGAAACAAGTTGAAACAAAACCTTAAAGCATAAAACATGAACAGCAACAAATTGAAAAAATCGTGGTTAAAATAATTAATAGACATCGAAATTACGCAGATGAAATAACTCGTTTTTGTTCGTGAAAATGGTACGATTTAAAATGTTTTCCTATTGCTAAACCTATCTCTGGAATAAACATCTCATGAAACCATTCTTTAAAAATTGCTGCTGTCATCCAAGCAGCTTGGGAATTTCTATAATGAACAGAGCAGTTCAAATTTCGGAATGATCCAGGGTTTTTGGTTTAATGGTTTTAATTGGTGCGTTTGTGCTTGCTAGAAAAGTGTTTGTTTTTCGATTTTTCTTCTTGGAGCTGTTTTCTCCTCGCGAGCTACATATGTTTTCTAGGAGGAAGCTTCCAATATATAACTTTCGTTGGCATTGTTGATCTGATCTTTCGACAGTTGAAGACCTTTAATTCTTTCTTCTAGATTTCTTTTGAAAGGATCAACAAGTTCAGGCTGTGATGACAATTTTTCGCCTGAAATCTTTAAGTAACGTATGCCAAAGCGCCTTTTATATTTTTGCAGCCGCTGCTTGCATAGAAAGAAAATTCTTGGTATTGGTTGTGGAGTAGCTTGGCTGTCTTTGTTTTAAAAACCACTTTTACAGAGCATTTTCCATTCGTGGATACTCCGAATGTCTTAAGGTTTTCATTTTTCCTGATCCGTTAAAAGCATTGTTAACTCTTCCAAATATTTGCCCTTATCTTTGGAATAGCGCATATATTAGATTTAACAATAGCATTTTCTTCCGATAAAACAATCAAGCCAACACCTTTCTGTAAATCCTTTAATATCATGGCTTTATTACTTAGGCTTAAATGTTTTCTATTTATTGCCACACATCACTCGCGAAACAACCTGATGCAATAACAATCTGCAAGAAACTGCTGTGATCCAATTACATAAAAGAAAACAAAACGTTTAAAATCGTTTTCCTGAATTGACGCGTTTGTTGACCAACAAATTCTTTTGGGTTCATTATTTCGAGAGCCAGTCGTTCACTCTACAGAATTCATTAAGAAAAAAATGTGTGTTCACTATACAGCATGTTCACTATACCCCGAACCTACCGTAATAACAAAATTGAAGGAAAGTAAAAATATCTGCATCACTATTGGTAAGCGATTTATTTGCACTATCTGAAAGGCGTGTCGAAGATAAAGATAAATCATAAATTGTATTAAATGGAACGGTCAACAGGTCGATCCCTCTCAGAGCTCTCAGTGGCATGTTAGGTTCTATCAAAGGCAGCAGTTCGGGTCAATCTATTAATCCATTTAGGATTTTATACAGAGTTTTTATATCAATATATTTTCTCCTTTTGGTTAGAGTAAGGAGTGGAGTAATTCTTCATATACAATAACCCCATTTTTCACAAATTTCACAAACCTCTTTTGGGCTCTTTCGATCTGTTGAACATATTGACTATAGTGAGGAGATTAAATCCCAGGTTGATGAAATAGAGGCCAGGTCACTTGCAGTTTTTTCTATTTTTAAATAGCCTCACAGTCGTTGCGTCCTCAACCGCTTAATATGCCTCTTTATTTACGCTACACTGCAGCAAGTAATGTCAGGGACCATATTAATCTGTACAGTTGGTAAAATGGAGGTTCGAAAGTACTCGCGCATGCGCATCAAAGGTAAAACACGCAACCTGGTAAGGTTATCATGGCAGAAAAAAATGACTCATATAAACCGTTAATTGATGAACCTGCGAGTCTTTTTCTTTGTTTAGTTAACATTTTTTAAAAATTTTGTTCTGAACAAATATTTTTTCCTTTAATACCGCTTAAGTTATTTTTTTAAATTAGAATTAAGGCATTTTTTTATTTTAATTATTAATCGCAAATTTAATAATAAACGATGGCTTTAAATAATGAATCGCAGTGCAAGTACTCGATATCTAGTTCTGCTTTTTGTAAACGTAGTGGTTGTCTTTGTAGCAGTGCATGGATGAAATACATCCATTTAATCTTTCTAGCGTGTTGACTGATCAATAATTTTTTATTGTTAGTCTATTTTCTAAAATACCTCCTTTCATTTTCCAATAGACCTTTTATTATACGTAGCATTGGACTAGTTACCGTGTTTCATTAAGAATGGAGTTTCGCCACATACTGACCAAATAATAATCATAAAAGATGCTAATTACTATCTTTTGTCATAAACTATGTCAAAGTAAGTGCTTAGCCTACCCATCTAATGTTTGACAATATTAATATTTCTGTCTGAAAAATGTTGCATATTCCATCTTCTAACCCTAAAACAAAAAAAGAAATATTTTTCGCCGCAGGTATTGTGGCCAAGAATACAATGAAATAGCATAATTTCAAAATTGTGTATATATGTGTATATATAAAAACGCGTAAATAGTTCAACAAACTAACGAAAACTCGACATACTGTACGTATTGGTCGTCCTTTCGTTGCAAACTTGTTTAAAAATTGTATAAAGATTCTCCGAGAAATAATTATTACACTAATTGCTAACATTGTAGCAAAATCTTTTTAATGCGTTTTATTTAATACTCTTTATGAAAACCTTCGCTATTAATTAGCATTGTTAGAGAAGCATAACTAACTTTATGTGATTAATTAATCTGATACACTAATGGACAAAGCACGTACAATGGGTGATTTTCTTTCGTTCGCCGAGAGTCAGGCATTTTAAATTTTTTATGCAATCTATTTTATACATTTCCGCGGTCGACGCAACTGTAGACGAATTCGTTTTTTTTTTTTCGAATTACCTTCGCTACGCCATAGAGAACCTCCACATCGAAGAAATGTAAACGAATTGTATCAACACGGGGTTAAAAATACCGTCTATAACGACTTATACACTAAGGTGTGGGTCGCGGTAAAAGCGGGTTGTTATCGTTTTCTTTATTGTGAAAACGAGGGGTTGTTTTTGGGCGGCCTCGTCTCTGCCGTCCTCGTCGTCGCAGCCGCGCCGTGATGAAAGTTGTTTTCCATTCCATTCCGAAAGCTATTAACGTAGTCAGAACGAAGAAGGATGCGCTCTTCTATTTAAACAACTTCCATTAGCGCGACGGAGGGTCTCGACCCCGACCCATGCCGTCGATGTAACTGACACGAAAATAAAAATATTATACGCCCGGAGGAAAACGTAGATATAAATATCATAATTCCGCCCCGACGCTTTTTTTTTTCGTTTTCCTTCCTGCGTTTTCACGGCTTGGGCTGGCTTAAGTGGGAGCGAAGAGCTTCATCCCCCTTCCACTACAGCTCGAAAATAGGTTTTTTTACATGTACTAAAGCAGGTTATTATTACGAATTACAATATTACAATTACATTAATTCAATTTTCAATCCTAGATAGCTAAAACCAGAAAATTGAATTAAAAGAATGAGCCATTCCGACAAACGTGGAAGAGCTATCTAAAATATAGTTTTTGGCTTTAGCAAAAAAGTCGCTTAGAAATAAATGTAATAGTTTTTTTAGAAATAAATTCCAGTAGTATATAAAATTTATACAGTAAAAATGTGATAAAAGTGATAAGATATTCCATTTTAGGTTTTTATCAAGCATCAGAATTATTTTATAACATTATTTTCATTAATTGGTTGTACTAAACTTTCGTTGAAAAGTGGGGACATTTTTTTCCAGTTGTAGAAAAAGTTTTACTTACAAAAATTTAAAATCGTCCAAAAACATCTTTCATATTTTTAAACAATTTTCCATTTTCACCACCGGTTACCAAGATGAACCACTATTCTATATCGGCCGCATATTTAAAAAAAGTTTATAAATAGTAGAAGCTGTTCCAAGATGGCCCAGAAGATGCCGATGACGAACCTCGCTCTTGACGCCCCAGCATGTCATTCATTAACTGATCAAAGCGTTGAAGAAGTGAAATAAATGGTGTTGAAAAATCGTCGTATCATTATTAGAAAAGTGACTGAAAACGTCAGCATTTCTATTGGCTCGTGAAATACAATTTTTTCCGCATGCTTGAAATGTTTAGCAGCAAAATTTGTTCCGAAATTGCTTAATTTTGAACAAAAGTAACATCTAACTAGCATCCCTCAAGAGCTGTTAAACGACGTCAATGTTGATCCTAATATGCTCAAAAAAGTCATAACTATGGTTATGACGTGAAAACCAAAAAAAGCACGTCAAGTTCGATCAAATGTCAAAGTTTTGCTTACTGTTTTCTTTGAGTATCGTTGCGTGGTACATCAAGAGTTCTTACCACAAGGTCGTGCGGTCAATAAAGATTATT